TTTTTTTGGGGGTCGAATATACATTTGCTTTCAAATTCCCATCCCTAGTTACTATAATAATAACGTGTTCCCCTTAACAACTCTTAAGGACCTAAGCTGAATCCTTCAAACTGGAGCTATGAGTGTGCAGATCGGTTTTTATTTACAAGAGATATTTGAAAGACCTTTCAATATAATACCTATACCGGGGCTTCTTGAGCTAACAAATCTATAGTTGACCAATTGATTTGTTGACTTAAATCAACAGATGTTTAAAACTACAGTGACAGACTAATGCCAGGTTTTGGAAAAACTGTTCCCACCTCAGCAGTTATTTACATTACAGTAAATCTGAAAAGGTCCTGCAGACTGTCCCCTTCTCTACACCCAGAACACACATGTTTACCTAACCCTAACCACAGATACTGTGTGACAGCAGATGCTAGGTGAATCCAGAGGGGTGCAAGGAACCGTGATTTAGGCATGGAAGAATTAAGTACCAGACCTTTCAACTGTAGGATTTTTTTGCCAGTTTAAAAAAAATGAAATAGTATATATATATATATTTTTTTTTTTTTGGTGTACTTCTATTTGCCTACTACTAAAATACAAATGATATTAAAATTGCACAGACTGCAACTGCGCAAACAGATCTACAGCAGTTAATGCACACACTATAGAGAAATACCTCAAAATACCCAGTTTGAACCAGCATGCAAACAAATTGACCAGCGTTTTCTCTGATCTGCACCTGAGAGTTCATGCTGGTGTCTATCTGCTGGGCCAGAGACTTTCTGTTGCAGAGGATGGTTGCCCCAAGATTTCTCCTGTCGTCTGCAGATTATATTTTAATTAAATTATGGATGTATCTGTTTCTCATTTGTGTGTTTCAAACCGAGGGGGCTTACAAGTGCAAGTGAAATAAATATGAAATCATTGTCAGGTTTGAAGATATATTTGTTTTCTTTACCGTGTTGCTGATTGTATTTAGTATTGTTTCCACTATATTCTCAATGATTATACTTCACTTCACTTGTGAATGAATATTTGCATGTTTTGTCTTCTTTAAGAATAATGAATCGTGACGAAAAAAACAATTTGGTGAAATAAGCAGGTAACCCCGCCCATTATGGAAGTGGAATCAAGAAGGGAGAGCTGTGTGTGAGCAGGTCTTACCTCCCCCACATACTCCATGATGAAGGTGTTCTTCTTGATGTGCTGCAGCGTGCGCACCCCCCACCCCCGGCCATTCTCCGTCTTAAAGATGCACAGGTCAACCTGGATGCCCTTCTGCACTACTCTGTTGGGACACTCAGAGCTGCAGCTGCATTGGGAGTTACACTCGTATATGGGCTGTCCCGGCCGGATCCGGACCAGGCCCTTGTCATTGTAGGCCATGCGGTGCAGCGAAGCCCCGGGGCAGCAGCCGTTTATTGGTTCCTCCAAACAGTTTTTACACTCACAGCCCACCGCCATCTCATCTAACACAATCCCTTGGCCTACTTTGTAGTTGTTGATGTAGGTGAAGTTCTTTGGAGGGCCCTCAAGGTCCACTTCGTTTGCAACAAAAATGCGGCCCGGGTGGTTGCGAGTCTGGTTCAGATGGGCCTCCCAGCGCTTCAGACTCTGACGGAGCTTGGCTTTTTGGACCAGGAAGGAGGAAATTTCCTTATCCAGTTTTTTTGGGGTGTAGCGTCTCTTGTGGCGCCTCAGCTGCTGATCCAGGTCCAGGTGGAACTGCTTTATCAGTTTGTGGCATTTAAGGTTCCTCTTGGGTTCCCAGCTGTTATCCGACTCAGGGAAGCCCTTCCACTTCAACAGGTAGAACTCCTCCTGCTGAAACACAAAGCACTTTTAAATAGGGGCAAAGATTTCTGTAAAGATGTCTGATGTACGCAGCCCAAAAACAGAATGCCAGGTATGTGCTTAGATGTCTCATAATAATTTGTGTGAACATAACAATAATTCGTGTGTAAATATGTGATTTGTAAATGTAAAATACCATCCACAAATGCATTTAAAAGATTTGCAAACTCACAAATAAATGTGCAAATGTAAAACGGATCTGCAAATACGCAAAATATTTTTACAAATAAAAAAAAAGATCTTTGAATATCTCTTTAACATTTACAACTTTCGATCACGCATTTGTGAATCCATTTTGTATTTGTCGACCAAAAATGCGATTGTGGATCTCACATTTCTGCTCGTGGATCTCAAATCTCTGCTTGTGGATCGTTTTTTTACACACACTGAGTTTTGAAATAAACTTTCTGCCGGTCTCGGCTAAAATCTACTCGTGTCACTCGGTTATTTTTGGAAACCACGTGATGGCCTGCTGATGATGAGATTTCCACATGGTTTTCAAAGTAAGAGCATGATGGTTTGTTTAATGCGCTGTTTTTATAATGAACAGTGGAACGTTAGATGCATTCTTTATCACCATCATCATCATTTTATAGTGATAGTTAGTTTGTGTTAGTTTATTGGTTCAACTTTCTTCATGGTTTTTTGTGTATTCAGTCAAGCGGGTCAAAGTTACAAAGCATTTCACATCTTATTAATCGGCCTAGTTTTACCTTACCAGTGCAGTGGTAAGGTAATCTGTAGAA